ACCAGCAGTATCAGAATCACCATCATCAGCAGCATCAGCATCAGCATCATCAGCAGCAGCAGCATCATCAGCATCAGCATGAGATCAGCATAATCCTCATCAGCATCAGCATCAGCATCATCATCATCAGCATCAGCATCATCGACATCATCATCAGCATCAGTATCATCATCACCGGATGTGCCTTCATTTTTCATGTCAGCAACGACATCAGCCTAAACATCGGCATCATCACCATCAACAACATCATGATTAGCTGCGTCAGCTTTTTCAAACTCATCAACCTCATCATCATCAGCAGCAGCAGCCTTTTCATCAAAATCATCATAATCATAATCGTCACCGTCGAAGTCGAAGTCGTTGTCGTCGTCGTCGTCATCTTCATCGCCACCGTCATCTTTATTGGTATCGTCGTTGCCGTGATCGTGATAATCATCGCCACCACGGTCATCATCTCCCCCTCCTTCCCTACTCTGCTCTCGTCAACGTCATCCCTCCTCCATCTGTTCCTCCTGGTCCTGCTGGCCTCATCCCGCTTCATCCTCCTCCTGCTCTTCCTCTTCCTCCTCGTCCTCCTCCTCATCCCTCCGTCGGCCATCCTCCCTCCTCCTTCCTCCTCCATCCTCCCCCGCCGACGACGACGACGACGGCGGCGACGACGACGACGACGCCGAAGCTTCAAATGCCGTCGGCGCTGACGCCGACGACGCCGACGACTGCAGCGCCAACGCCACGACGGCGACCCCTGCCACTACCAGGGGCCTTCGGCAAGTGGTGCTGCTCGGGCGCCATGAACGCTGGAGTGCCACACTTCTCCTGCAACAGCTTGCCTGGCGCCGCTCGCCGCGGCTGCATGCCAGCCTGGAACATATCCCTATCCATATGTTCGGCACCGCCTCATCACGATGCCAATCTTAGAGATTCCCTTGTTTTTTGAGGGCGAATCCCTGAGATTGTCGTCGCCTTTTGGCGTGTCAATCTTAGGCATAGGGATACGTTCGAGGCTGGTAAGCTGCCGCCGCCGCATGGCTCCTCCTCAAGAGGGGAAGCCGTTGGCCACTGTCGGCCTCCCAGGGGCCCTCCGAGCCCCCGGACCCCGCCGATGGGAAGGGATCCAACGCCCGTGAGATGGGCGCGCGTGAGGGACGCAAGCCCTTTGGACGCCGAGCGACAGCTTCTGAGCCGAGGATTGGCCGAGGATGGGCCGAAGAGGCCAGGATGCGAGTGCCCAGTCAACCCGCACAGTAGGGATGGGCAACCTGCCCAAGATTGCCCTTACATCCTTCTCCTTTTGCCCACCCTTGGCCGCTATCGCTGGCCGCGCCCCGCTCGCACAGCTTCGAGATGGCCTTCCAAAGCCCTTGCATCCTTACCGCGGATCCTCATGATACGGGTTGACTCTACCCTCGGGGATGGACAGAACCCCATTTAGCACAACGTGGTTTAGTGAAAACGACCTCAGGCCCAAACCTGGCGGGCGCAGGCCTGGAGAATGACGGCCACGGCGCCCTCTCGAGAATCGAAGACGGACCCTTCACGAATCGACGTGTCAGGGGGGTGGGGGTCCTGTCCACCCCCGATACCCCCCGGAAACCGACTGCCCTCCGGATGTTTTTTTCTGCGGGCTCAGACCTCCACGCACGCGACACTACACATCCCTGCGGGCCGCGGCCGTAGATTTGGACGCCCGAAATGGGGACGGAAAAAATGGGTACAATGCCCAACAGCAAATGTTGTCCCAAACCGACAGCGGCCGCTGTTGGGCAGGCGGCCTTCTGTCTCAAATGGACACAGGCCGCGGCTGCGCGGACAGCGAGCCCTGTTCAAAAAATGCACAGGAACTGCTGTTGGGCATTGCACCCATTCTTTCTGTACCCAGCTCGTGCGTGCAGAATAGACGAGCCGCAAGGCCGCGGACCGGGCCCGCGAGCGCCCGGCGGGGGCCTCGCCAGCCCCCACCAGGCAGGGGCCCCGGGACGCCCCGCCCCCGAGGAAGGGTCCCCGGACGACCCGGGGCCCACGCCGCGAGGCGGCCGCGGCGGCGGGGCACCCCCGACCTCGGGCGCCGCGCGAGGCGCGCGGCCGAGGACGGCGCCCTCGCCTGCGGACCGGCGCGCGCGCACACTGTCGGCACGGGTGCTTAGCCCGTGCTCGACCTCCTCCTCCATCCCTAAACCTTAGAAATACTAATTAAGAAGAAGAATCCTGAGAACGAGGGATCGTAAATCACTAACTCTAACCCGATAATACTCGCATAATTAATAATCATAAGACATACCTACTAAGAAGACTGAAACCGACTCCTCACCTACTACCTCCTCCTCATCATCAGCCTCCCTAATCCTCGTAATATTAATCCTCCTCCTACCTCCCCTACCTCCTTTCCTACCTCCCATCCCCCTCCTCATCCCCATCCCCCTCCCCCGCCTCCCATTCGCCCGCCCCTACTCATACCTCCTCCTCCTCCTCCTCCTCATACAGGCGGCCTGTGGGCGGCGACACATGTTGCAACCAAAAATAAGTAATGCAAACAAGCAGCTTACAACCAAAACAGCTCAAGAGAATGCACCAGCATAGTCGAACAGATATTCAAAAAAACATGACTATTGTTTGACTATTTCTGGATCACCTGCATCAGGGATGGACAGACCCCCCTTTAGTAAAACGTGGTCTAGTGAAAACGACCTGAGGCCCAAACCTGGCGGGCGCAAGCCTGGAAAATGACGGCCACGGCGCCCTCTCGAGAACCGAAAACGGACCCTTCACGAATCGACGTGTCACTGTTAGGGGCTCTGTCCACCCCCGACTGCAGAGGGGCGCGCCAGACTCCATCGTATGCCCAGGAGGGGCGGCGCACGACGCGCCACCTCCGCCACCCGCCCGAGCCGCAAGGTCACTGCGACCCGCCTCCGGCTGCCCCCAGAGGGGGGCCCCCTCCTCTCGGGGTTGCCCGTTCCGCGCGGGGCCCTCCGGGGCCGCGGCGGGGAGGGGAGGGGAGGCGTGGGGGAGAAGGAAGGGGGAGAGGGAGAGAGAGAGGAGAGGGGAGAGAGAGAGAGAGAAGAGAGAAGAGAGAGAGAGAGAGGAGAGGGGAGAGAGAGAGAGAGAAAGAAAGAAAGGAAGAAAAGGAGAGGGGATTGGGGGGGGGAGAGAGAGAGAGAGGGAGAGAGAGAAAGAACAAAAAAATGTAGAAGGGAGAGGCAAGCTGGGCGCGCTCGCGCCCCGTGTGACATCCTGCCCCGTCCATCCGTCCCTTCCCGTGGCGCTGGTGCGTCCTCCATCCGCCGGCGCGCGTCATGGGCGGCCTCGGGACACCAAAAAAAAGAAAAAGCGTGCTCCTCCTCCTCCTCCTCCTCCTCCTCGTCCTCCTCCTCCTCCTCCTCATCATCATCATCATCCTCCATCCTCCATCCTCCATCCTCCATCCTCCATCCTCCATCCTCCATCCTCCTCCATCCTCCTCCATCCTCCTCCATCCTCCTCCTCCTCCTCCTCCTCCTCCTCCTCCTCCTCCTCCTCCTCCTCCTCCTCCTCCTCCTCCTCCTCCTCGCACAATGGGGAGCTGCGTACATGGGAGGAGGGGGAAGAGGAGAAGGTGGCGGATAAGCAGAAGGATGAGCAAGGGGAGAAAGGAGGAGGGCGAGGGAGGAGGAGGCGGACGACGAGAACGAACAGCAGCAGCGAGCCTGGAGTGGAAGTAGCGGGAGGAGCAGCAGGACCATGTGAAAGCGGAAGGGGGGAAGGAGCCTCCTTGGGAGGGGGCGCCAACAACGAGGAAGGACTCGAATCCAGAAAAGTGGCCCGCGCCTGGGCGAGAGTCGTTCTGAACGACGGGAGCGAAGCGCCGATCCCACACTGAGGCCAAAGCTGCAGCGGCAGCACCATCTTGAGAGACCGAACAGGGTCCCGATCAAAAGAACATAGGAAATACCAAATAAAGGCATCCCTTTTTCAAAATGCATATATATATATATATATATATAACAAAAAACTTACAATACAAAAAAGGCCACTCCCCGGCCATCTCCGGGCGAGGCAGGAGAGCAGTATTCCTATCAAGCTGGGTGCGCTCGCGTCAGACAGTCGGGCTTCATTGGTGAGAACGCGCGAGAGGTCACAAGACCCTTCCGAGGGCCACATTGTCACAGGAATGCAGGAGGCACGGGTCGCGAGACACAAGACACAAGGGTACCCTTGATTTGGCAAGGTCGACCTACTAATCCGGGCCGACTGTAGCTGACGTCCTACCCCTGCCTCCCATCCCTTCCCCTTCCCATTGCACAGAGCCCCTCTCTATTCGGACAGCCGTACGTCGAAGAGGACAATGAATCCCAAAGGGTGCGCGTTGCATAGCATGACATGGCATGGCGTAGGAAAGCACAACAGACAGAGGGTAGCATGGCATGTAATGGTGTACTACTGCGTTCTGAGTGGCGCATAGCATTGCGGCGCAAGGCATGGCATCGCATAGCAGCACTTAGCATAGCTTTGTACGGCATGCTTTGGCATAGCCCAGGACAGTATAGATGGTTTGGCACTGCGTAGCCAAGCATGGAATATCACAAGATTGCAGAGCAGGGCATTGCTGGAGGGCCGACAAAATGCAGCTGAGGATGGTGCTGCAACGCGGAAAGGAGGCCAGCGCTGCAGCAGGAACACAATTGAAAGACCGACAACGAGCGGATCGGAAAACACTAAAGAAATGTCAGTTTGAAATGCGGCGAGTGCAAAAAAAAACATTGCGCGGAGAGGGCGGAACATCTTCCAGACAAAGTCAGGGGAGAGAGGATAATAGTACTGATAGTGTGTAATGTTTGAGAGACTGTGGACGGAGAGGGGAGGAAGGGGGAAAGAAGCCAGGAGGATAGCGGGAGAAGAAGGCGGAGAGGGAGGCGAGGAGGAGAGGAGCAGGGGAAGAAGGACCTTCCCCCCCCCCCTCACTCGATCGCTCCCTCCTCGGTGAGGACGGGGGAAGGCCCAGTCCGAGAGAAAGGTCGGAGCAC